ATGGTTGAGAGGCACTATCAATCATCTTTGAAGAGAATAAAGATCAGAGTATGTGGCGAATATAATTCGTCGCATCATAGATTTCTTCAACATATGATAACCGCTCCTCATAGAACTCGTCCCTAGAAGGGGGGTAATTTCACGAACATACTCATGTAAGCTAGTATTTACATATACAAATAAGTAGAAGTAAGTAAAAGTAGGTAAAAATAAGTTAATTCTATAGTATTTAATATAGAGGCTTCCTAGAAGCTTCATAGACGCTGCTTTGACTTCATAGGTGTCTTTAATTGACTTTTTGGATTAGAAACGTGGTCAACAAGTTGGCCATGTGCCACACATGTTGTTAGCTTGAAGATCAAGCTAACTATGTGGCCCACACGTAGAAGAACTTGCCTTGTAAGTCAAGGCATGTAAAATCAAACATATTGGAGGTCCTATAGAACATCGCCACGTAGTCCGTAGTTGGATAGTATATATAGAGACAAGAATGAAGCCTTCTTCACTCTTGTCAACTCCTTTCTTGCTTCTAGTCTAGTTTCAAGGGTCTCTAGTTTTCTTGTCTTTTGGCAATAGCCATTCTAGTTTCTCTTTCAATATACATACTTATTTATTTATATTTTGTTACCTTTCTTTGAGTGAAGGCTCACTTATCTGGATTATTTTTTCATCGAGTTCTTGTCTTTGATACATACATGTGATGTTTGCTCAAGGTTAAAAACTCCTTTTCATTGATCTTATGGACTTCTTCAATCATTGTCTATACTAAAACAACCATGGTCTATTGTTTCTATGAATTTTATTATGGATCTTTTAAATTTAAATTCATATAACTTTATATTAGTGATTATAGATTGTTTTATCAAAATGGCATATTTTTTACTATGTAAAAAATCTATTTCACATAAAAAAAAACTAAGCTTTTCTTTGTTAACATCTATTAGTATCATGGATTGCCAAAAGATATTATATTGAATAAAAAGACACAATTTGTATCAAGATTTTAAAAAACTCTTTTTAAGATATTGAAGATAGATATAAAATTATCTTTAGTCTTTTACCTTCAAATTAATAAAAAAATAAAATGGATGAATTAAATTTTGGAGCAATATTTTATGTGTACTATCAACTATCATTAAGATGATTGGACAAACTTTTTGCGATTGGTAGAGTTTGCATAGAATAATTTGGTATATTTTTGTACTTAAAAAATATGTTTATTTATTAATTATGCTTACCATTTATTATTGGATATCTTTGATTTTTCAAAAGTTGATAATTCTATTATAAAAGATTTGACAAATTATTTGTCGAAGCTATTTGTAACAATAAAGGCCATTTAAAAAAAGCTCAAGAATAAAAAAAATGAACAATATGAATGCCTACTACAAGGAACAACTAAAATTTGATATGGGTAATAAGATATACTTACTTTATTGCAATATCAAGACTATTTGTCTTTATGACAAGTTGAATTATTATAAACTTGAATCTTTTTCTATTTGAAAATAAATTAATCTAATTATTTAGCAATTATATCTATTAGAGTCAATGAAGATCCGTCTCATATTTCCTATGTTTCTTCTTGAGTCTTACAAGATAGTAAATATCTTAAGAAAAAGACAAATATTATTGTCTTTTATAGAAATGGATAATTATTAAAAATTCAAGAAATCTTAGACTTAAAGTAATGCCAAAATAGATTAAAATATCTTATTTATTAGTACAAATATAATATTAGTAAATACACATAGGAGCCAACAAAGAATCTTACAAATATAAGTTCTACAAGGAACAAGTATTGTGGAACTTGTTATTAGAAGGAAGAATAATGTCACAGATATATTTACTCTAATACTTATATAGGTAATATGAATAGATAGAAATAAGTAAAAATAGATAAATTTAATAATATCTTATTAAAAAATCCTAAAAGCTTCATAGATATTTTTTTCATCTTTATATATATCCATAGATAATTGATAGGTTAAAAAATTGATCAACAAGTTAACCACAAGTTGCATATATTAGTAGCTTGTAGAACAAGCTAACTACGTGGAACATATATAAAAAAACTTATCTTGTGAGTCAGACATGTGTCTTGTGTATTAACATGTGTTGGAGGTCCTATAGAATGTGGCTACATAGCTCTTATATAGATAGTATATATAGAGGCAAGAATAAAGCCTTTTTCAATCTTGTCAATGCCTTTCTTGTTTTTAATTTAGTCTCAAGAATCTATACTCTTCTTGTCTTTAGCAATAACCATTTTAAACTTAATATTATAATATTTTTGGAGTAAATATTTAGTCTTCTTGAATTACATAAGAGTATTTTGAGATTCTTCTTGTCTTCATTTATATCTTTAGTATCACTTTTGTAACATTTAATAAATAATATTGGTGTTGATTATTCTAATATTCATACTTATATATATATATATATATATATATATATATATATATATATATATAATAAACTAGCAAGTTATCTTATAGATACATATATGTATTATAGTTTATTCTTTTAAAATCTATAATAAGAATTTAATCAAGATATTTTTTATTCATTTGAAATAGATCTAGTAATGACAAAATTTGAATCTTCTTGCAATAATTATTAATCTAATTAGATGAGTTCCAACTTCTCATCAAATCTCACAATCTTAATTTATAAATTGGTTGCTAGTAATTGTAGTAGTTTCTTCATGTGCACAATATTAACAATAATATATAAATTATTGGTAGCATCATGTGAAGATTTACTTACAAAAGAATTGGTAATAGTTTGGCACCATAGAGATTGATTAATTGGTTATCTAGATGGATGCCGCAATTATCTTTGGTACCAAAAAATAGAAGAACTATTGGTGATTTTAAGATTCATCATGATAATCAAATGTTTAAAGGTAAAAAATTATTATTTTATAACTCAATAATCACTTTTTTATGTTATTGAGTTCTAAAGTATTTTAGTAATTATAAATGGTATTAAATTTATTAAAGTATAAAATAAAAGTGTATTTGAGTTGATACAAATTAGACACAAATTAGACTAATATATATTAAGTATAAATCTTTTAATTAATTCTTTTGTTGAATTATCATATATTTTTTAAAAAAAGAAGTAATATCCATATATGTGTATATAAATATAAGTTCATGATTTTTAAAAGTATCAATAATACTAAATAGAATTTTTTATATAATTTTAATTAGGTTTTTTTTACATTAGTTAAATATTAAAGATTGTAAAAGTTGTGATTGATTAGAAGTTATTTAAAAGAACATAGATATTTTAATACCTTTCTTGGATATTTGATGCCTTTAAGATTTTCTTTAATTAAGAAGATGGAAATTAAATTTAGAAACAAATTCTTAGTGGTATTTTTAAAAGCAATGGTTTAGAAATTTAAAAGTTTAGAAGGAGATAATAAAGTACTACTTCAATTACTTCTCAGTCTAAAAGCAATAGTTTAGAAGAAGATATCAAAATATTTAAAAGAAGATATTCAAATATCATTATGTTTAAAAAAAGTATCAATTAATATTCTTTTAAGAAATATTTGTTGTTTCATAAATAATAGTTTTTGTAAACCAATTTATTTGATAATTATTTCAATATAGAACTTTAGATTTTTTAGACTTGCACAAATTATTATATGTAAATTTTTTTAAAATAGGTGTAATTTATATATTATAATATAAAAAACTCACATTCATTAGTTTTTTAAATAATAATAATAATAAAAGTTTTAGTTTCTAGAATTGGTTTTTAAAAACCAAATAAGATTGCTTTCAATTGTAAAATATCACATTTCTTGTCTTCCTTTCCTATCCCATTTCGATTTTTATTCGTGTATTAAGTGTTTGCTATCTTCTTCAAGCCCAATATCAAAAGACCAATCTACTTTTCCAACCGCTTGCCACCAAAAATTGGCAATAAGACTCACAATCCTTGATGGCCAACTTACTGTCTAATAATCAGCAATCCTCTGGGGAACCTCCTTAGAGGATTGCATTGTTGAAAAACTAACCTCCACTCTTCACTAATCTAAATAATACACCAAAACTATCTAAGTAATCTGAGTAATATCTAGGTATCTCCTTACGAACATTAATATTGGACTTAAATTAGGAAAATGAGCAGTTCATATGAGAATGGGAATGAAAACGGGACAAGAACAAAGATAAAGATAGTCAATGAGAGAAAGGAAAAGGGACTAGGGATGGAAGATGAAGACAAGGGATGGATGAAATCAATCATGAAATATCAAAGGGAGGTGTGGCTTTAACATTATTGAGATAATTAATAAGGCTTTAATAATTCCTTATATAAAATATTACACAATGGAAATAATTTTAATGTAAAAGAATCAACATAAATCACATGCATTAGAAATAACCAGGCATCTATATTCTAATAATTGATTTCTTTTGCTGTTCTTTAGAAATAAGTTTTTATAACTTGATAAATATAAATTCTACTTACATTTTATTTGTATGTTTGTTTGTAGTCTAAACATCCTTGATTTCCTTAGATTAACCTGATTGATGAACAAAAACTTCAGTATCATGGTTGCCTTTGACACAATAACAATGCTTCATTTGGTTTTATGTTGGAGGAAATTGTAGTTGATAACAAAAGCCTAAAAATAGTAAATTATTGAAATTAAGTTACTTTAAGCTTTCACGTAGCATAAACAAATCATATTTTTGTACAAAATATATGGCTGTCAATTCAGAAATTTTTAATACGAAAAGAAAGAAAAAAAATAAAAAGACATGAAACTTATAACAGATAATAAGTTTGTGAGTAGTAAGTTACCAGTGGGGAAAGCTTCGGTGGTGTCGGAGTCCGCAGTCACCGACATGGAATGCTACTTCGACGTGGTCACGATCGGGAGTGGTCGCATCTGCACCTCACGTCTCACACGGAACCGATTCTCTGCAAATTTGCGCCATTGTAAAGCAAGTCGATCGTTTCTGTGAAGGTAGTAAATGGAATTTGGGTCACAGTGATTTGGGTTCGCGCATTTACGGTTTTTGGCGAGGAGAGGTTCCTTCGTTTCCTGCAATTTGTGATATATGCGGTTGTTGTGGGTTGAATTCCATCGTTCTGAGTGGCTGTTTCATCAGCGTTGTCGTGATGAAATCTGCCTATCGGTGGGAGTTGTGACGTGGCAAAGCTTTATTCCGGAAAAAGGAGACCGGTGCTTGTCTTGGATTGGAGCTTGCGGAATGCGGGGATCCAGTGGTGTGACAGAATGGAGAGATGGAGGGCAGTAGATTTTGAGAACGTCCAGCTTCACAGGTTTGTTGTGCGGTGTGGCATTTTGGCGGGCCACTTCAATACTCCAGAGTATCTCGTGTGCAGGGCCTGTTGCTGAATTTGTGTTTGTGTGTGTGTGTGTGTCTCTTCCAGCTACACTCGCAATCGCTTTTGTAGATAGACAACAGAAAGGGTTGGATTTCGGAATTGTAAAGAATTGCCTCAAGACTTTTGGAGTTGGGTAAGATTGGATTCGAAGAATTGGCAGATTGTATGAGAGTAGTGGAAGTAGCGAAGAAGGAAGTGTAGGGCTATGGCAATAGCTCTCATTGGAAGCCAGTTGTGGCGCGCACCTTCTCCATGCCGCCTTAGTTCAGTTTACCGGTCGAGCTCAACCATACCGCCCCTTCGTGTTAATTGTAGCGTAGACCCAACATCAACAAGCTCCGCAGGCAGTACCAGTGGCGATGGCGATGGTGGCAGTAAGAAACATGTTGATACAAGGATACACTGGGGAGATTCAGCGGAAGGATGGATTGGAATAGATTGTGACGATGAGACGTCGTCTCAATTTAGGTCGTGGGGCAGACGCGGCAGGAGTAATTCCAGTTTACTTGATCAGGCCTCTGACAGCCATTACAGGTGACTGCGTTTGTATCGTTTTCTTTCTGCTCTTGCCTCACTCTTAACCCGTTGAAATGTTGATGGAAAATAAGTGGTTGCAACGCTTCGATACCAGTATAATGTCGTCTCAGGAATGAGAGTCGAGACATAGGATATCAAATTCTCCGTTGCAGCAATCGGACCTCCTGTCTATGCATACCAATTTCGGGTTGTAAAGGCTGGACAAAACATCTGGGTGGAGCTTGTATCCAGCTATGTAACTACGAAGACAATAAGTTCCATTCTTTATTTCCTGTGATTGGTAGCTTATTTTTTGTTAAATTTTTGCTTTGCTCAATTGGTTCTGCTAAAGCGTTTCACTAATCAGGGAGGGAATGAAATGTTGGTCAGGTACATGGGCTTGTCATCAGATGCTGAATTGGAGGAGATTAAATCTGCGTACCGACGGCTATCTAAGCTCTATCATCCTGATACCACCCAGCTCCCTCTGGAGATTGCTGCGCAGAAATTTATGCGGTTGAAGGTTAGCGTTCATCTACTCCATACACCTCTGCACACTCAAACTCTCCTGAATACTTTAATACCTGAAATGCTACAAGTAAATGATAGCACTATGCTTGAGTCGCGTGCAGGATGCGTATGATACCCTTAGCAACGAAGAATTGAGAAACCTTTACGACAGCCGGTTGGAGAATAAGATCGTGATGAACAATGAGGGGAGCTTATATGGCTACCCAACAAGCTCCCAGCAAGGCTATAACTCCCCCACCCAGAAGAGACCAGAGCGCGTGGATGTGGATACCCTTGGGGGTGACAACATGCCCCTTAGCGACCAAGCTCTCACAGCCCTAGGCTTCGATCTCCTCGTTTTTGTTATTTGCGTTCTTGTCATTATTTACGTCGCATACTTTAAACATGCTGCTTGAGACGACATTGAATAAAAGGGGTAAAGATCACACTGTTTTATCGGGATTGCTCACCAGGAGATGAACATGATACATATCAGCAGCTATTTTAAACCGTGTAGGTTGCATCTTGGTGACCTAGTTGAATGCTCTTAACCGACCTTGAGAAAAAAGAGGATGGCCTTGCAGGAGTAGTAAAGAGATGTGCTCCACAATTTTACCAGCCCTCCTCAAATCTCAGCAGTGTCGGTGAAATTGCCTGTATCACTGAAAAGCTAAATATTTGATGAGAGGGAATATGCATCACGTATCTGAAGCACGTGGGAGCTGGAATTCACCATTTTTGAGGACCAAAACTTTATGACTCAATGATAGAAGGAACGGAATATGTAATTGTGATGCCTGCATGCACTAGATTCTGAGTGCAAGTTTTAATGAGTGTATCCGTCTGTGGCGCTGTCCCCTGAAGTCGCTGCCTCATCGCGCACTAGAAGGCGGGCTAGCCCTGGTAATATGCTTGGCCTACGCACATGCTGTCCTCAAACAGCGTAAGATCTCGATGTGTGGTACTAAGATCTGATTGGGTTCCTGCAACTCGTACACCATGTGAACCTACCTCATCATATATATATATATATATATATATATAATTGAAATGTTAATTACGACATGCTTGCTCAAAGTGGCACTCTAAACATTCGACCGAAACTCGAATAATTCTTGTTATTCATCGCTCTCAGTCGAGATGCCGAGCTCGTCAATTGGGATACGTCCATCGCTTGGAACAACCCCTTGATCAAAGGAATTCTTGCAGCCGTCCTAAACCCCCCATTCATGTGCATCTTGCACTGTGCAACCACTGGTAAATGTAGGGTGTCATGTCACTCTGGCCACCTCTAGATGGAACAGGTGCTTACATGAATCGCTATTTCAAGTACTCAAAAAATAAACCATCAGATTGTCGTAACTTGATCTGAGTTTTAATTTGAGTCCTAGGGCTTACACCTGCAGGTTGTGAGTCTAATCGGTGCCTTCCAATGGTCAGTTGTGTGTTGATCGAACATAACTAAACCACAACACAAACTCTGCTATCACCAACATTGCAGGATTCGTTCAACGTTAGTAACAGTTAACGTTATCCATGGTCACCACAAGCCTTGCCAACATGATGTAGAAATTGGAGTTCTTTAGCATTGCCATTCCAACCAAGCCAATTAAAAGCCATGCCAAACAATTTTTTGATGTTATGTCATTGCATTTCAAACTGACTGGTGACGATCAAACATTGTTGCAGCCGCTTACGGCAGAACCTCATTCAATAGTTTCTTTTTCTTCTTTCTTTTTGTCAAAAACAGTATAAACCCATCACATTGATAATTGAAGTCGAGGACAAATTACTTACAAATTTACAAATTAGTTAGAATTTCTTTTGGATTTTATATTTATATATATATATATATGTATATATATATATATATTGTTTATTTAATGACTTTTTTAGAATTTCTATAAGATTCTTTAGGATTTAATTAAGGCTCAATTAGCAAAGAAGACAACAAGATTTTTGAGATATTCTTTTAAAATGTTCATATTTCATACCAAAAGAAGAAGATACAACTTTTCATCTACAAATTTTTTTTTTAAAAATTATAGTAATTTTGTTTTTGAATCATAAAATCAACATTTATTGTTGATTCAATATTTTTTGATCAAATTCAATCAAGTATGTTTTTAGATTCAATTGTCTATGATATGAAGAATGATTCTTCTAAATCACATGATACTTCCAAATTTGAATTTAATAACAATATTTTTTATTTTTACAAATACTTATATGTTAAAAAAAAGTGAAGTACAATTTCACACTCCTCAAGCTTGTCATAATTTTCCAATTATATGTCATTTTAGATATAATAAAATATTGGATTTAAACTCAAGAGATTTTTGGTGGCCTCAAATATAAAAGATACTTAAAAACTTTGTATAATCATGTAATATTTAAACCAAAATCAAAAATTCCTTGTTATTCACCTTGTAAAAATTTCAACCATGACCTATACTAAAATAACCATGGTCTTTTGTTTCTATAGTTTTTATTAAAAATCTGCTAATTTCAAACTCTTATAACTCTATATTTGTGATAGTAGATTTTTTTTACTAAGATAAGATATTTTGTATCATATACAAAAACTATCATAAGTGAAGAAAAAGCTAGACTTTTTCTTAATAATATTTATTACTATCATAGATTAATAAGAAATATTATATGAAATAGAGGGACTCAATTTATGTCTAGATTTTGGAGATTTCTTTAAAATATTAAAGAAAAATGTAAAATTATATTTAGTCTTACATCTTTAAATTGATTGATAAAAAAAAATGACTGAATCAAGTATTATAGCACTCTTTAAGATGTATCATCAACTACCATTAACATAATTGAATAATTCTTTTGCTATTGGTAAAAATTTCCTATAATAATATGATCCATTTTTCTACTCAACAATCACCTTTCTATGTTAACTATAGTTATTATCCATAATTTGATGCTTTTGGCTTCTCAAAAGTTAATAATCATGATGCAAAAGATTTTTTGAAAAAATTATTAGTCCTCCATGCCACAATAAAGGCACAATTAAAAAAAACTCAAGAATGACAAAAGATCATTATTGATATCTATTGCATTAAGCAATTTCAAATCTACATTGGTAATAATATATGGTTTTTTTGTTATAATATCAAGATTATATATTCTTGTGACAAGTTGAATTATTATAAATTTTGACAATTTTTTATTTATAAATAAATCAATTTAATTGCATATTAATTATACTTACCAAAATCTACAAAGATCCATCTTGTATTTTGTATATCTTTTTTTAAGCCATATAAGACAATGGATATATGAAAAAGAAGAGAAACTCCACATCATCTTGTAGGAGTAAATAACAATTAAGAATTTGATGTGGAAGTAGTCTTAAATTTAAGGCATTATCAAAATAAGTTGGAATATTTTGTACATTGACATGAATATAATATTAGTAAATACATATAGAAGTAATTGATGAATCTTGCAAATATAACAAAGAAGGGAAATGTTTTTTTTATTGATAATTTTTATTAAACTAAAACAATAAGTCAAGAAATTCTTTGCTATAAAGCAAAATAGGTTCAATGAAGATTTTATTTTACCTTCATAATTATTATGTATTTATGGCATTAAAAAGATAGAGAATTAATAACCAATACATTCAACTCAAGAGCTATTATTTGTTGAGTTATTAAGCAATCTTAATAGAATATCACAATATTTAATACAATTTAATAGAGGAAAATAATAATAATAATAATAATAATAATAATTTAAGAACAACATATTTTTTCTTAAATAAATAGCATGATATAGTATGTTTTGTATCACGTTTTTGGAAAAGAATCTTAAAATTTGATATTACTGAAAGTAGTAACCATTTTTGATGGAATTTCAAATGTTTTATTTGAAAGAAGTTACAAATGCCTCAACAATAATTAAATAACTTGGTAGTCTTCCTGCCTTGATATAAGACACTATGAATGGTTAAGAGGGCCTATCAATTATCTTCAAAGAAAATAAAGATAAGAGTATGAATCAAATATAATTTGTTGTATCTTAGACTTCTTTAATATGTAATCACTACTCCTTATGGAATTCATCACTAGAATAAATAGTAATATTTTAGACATGTATACTAACAAATTAATTATTGAAATAAATTGAATTAATTAGAAATAAATAAATAAAGGTAAATTTAATTATATCTTGTAAGGATATAGTTTTGACTTTACAAGTATTTATAAGTAATTGATAGGTTGAAAACTAGGTGAAGAAGTTGGCCACATGTTGTACATATTGGCTATTTATGGTATAAGTTGGCCATGTAGCTCACATATTAGAAACTTGCTTTATAAGTTAGTTACATGTTATACAAGTTAGACAAGTATTGGATGACATATAGAACATTGTCACATAGTATCTTAATTAGATAATATATATATATATAGAAGCAATAGAAAGGCCTTCTTTATTCTTGTCAATGTTTTTTTTATTCTTAGCCTTATTTTAAGAATCTTTAGACTTTTTATCTTTAGCAATAGTTATTTTGGTTTCAATATTATAACTATCTTTGAATTAATATTTTTTTAATGATACAAGAATGTATTAATTCAATAGTTTTTTTATAATTCATGTCCTTAATATTGTTTTATTTTAGTTGCTTTATTTTTAATAGATTTTATTTCACCTATCTTCAATTTTTTTGCTATTCTTTTAATACCCTTTTAAGTTTGGAGGTGTATCAAATATGCCATAGGTTGAAAATAAAACTATTTTTTAAATATTAGTTATTAAATTTAAGAGATAAAATTTAAAATAGAAAATATTATATATGTAGTAAAAAAATATACTAATAAGCATGAAGTATTAAACTCAAATTTACTTACTGGCAAAGTTGTTGCAATTATATTTTTTTATTTACTTTTTTTTATAGTTAGATTCTTTTGAATTATTGCCTTTATTATCTTGGATTTTTCAACAATATTCTTAGATTGTATTTATATACAAATACCATCCAATAGATTATTATTTATAAAATATCAAATCTAAGTAAAGGATTTTGCTTGTTGTTCATTGTCTATGACTTGTTCCAAATATTATTATATTTTAAGAGGAGAACATTTAATAGAGAAGTATTTTGCATAATAAAGAAAATTCTCAAGAAAAAAGAGGTTTCTTTCTCAATTCTCAAAGATAGTACTAATTATAATTTACTTCATGCATTGAACTATCAAATCATGCAATTTTGTTTTAAAAAACCGCATCTCTACTTGAATTACTTTCACCTTGTATTTTGTTTTTTTAAGCTATTCTTACCTTGAACTACCTTGCCTTTGACTACTTTTATTTTTAGGTTACTTTTCAAACATTCTACAAATTTTATCAAAATTTTTAAAAATATATATATATATATATATATACAAGCATCAATTTCAAATATTTATTTTCTCCAATGCCAAATATAGAGGTTAGATCTTTACAATCCAATACCTTTACTATCCTTGGGCTACTTTCATCCTCCCTAGATTGTCAGGATACACATATGCACCAAATTTACTTGAATACTTGAATTGGACCAATATTTATTATAAGCATTTGTCTTGTATTGCTATGGGGTAGTTTATACGTGGCAGTGAAAACAGAAACCAATCAATTAAGCTTTTCACAGTTTCTCTCTATGAACAAGCTGGTCATTCATTTTAACTTACGAATTAATAGATTGCAATGAGAAAGATACACATATATTCAAAAATTATAGCATGGAGTGACAGCTACGAAGCATTTTCACTGATGAGAAAGCATAGGTGGAAACCAGAAAACTACTAAATTTATCGCAAGACGAACCCAAATCTGTTGATTTGATGGCGCATAAATGGCTGGTCGATTCAGTGCCACAGACGTCCCGCTCCGCATTATAAACTCCATCGCTCTCGAAACTAGAATCGCACCAGAAACGCACCTATCTCGCATGATTTGCTCTCCGATGCAGACATGTGCCCACTGATCTGGTCACAACAGTGGCAGATGTCGATGTTAAGCTGCAAATTATAGACACAACACGACCTTTGCAATGATCAAAGCTCGGAAAAAGCTTGTACAAATTGTGAGGCACAAGCATAACGAGAAGGCATTAGTACTATCCCAACGCAAAGTCTTGCATCCTTGAGCGAGTATGGTGCGCTTGTTGCCTGTCGTGGCGGCCGTGGTCCTCTCCCTCGTTACGACTGCGTTCTACTCATTTGTAGCCAACAATTCCCCCATTCGCCCTGTTGCTGTTTAACTCCCTGTCCATCCCAAAGCCGAAGGTGTTTACGTCCACAACAAGTTACTTCACGGTCTCGCGAAGCTTGGAGATGGGCAGCTGCTGCAACCGGAGGACATGGTGGCTGATCCCACTGAGATGTTCCTGTATACGACCAACAGCGATGGATGGATAAAAAAGTATTACCTCTCAAATGGCAGTGTGGAGAATTGGGTGAACGTTGGAGGGAGACCACTGGCCATCGCACTTGGGAATGAGGGTGAAGTCTTGGTGTGCGAGCCTGTGCAAGGCCAGTTGATCGGGGTTAGAATTCGAATTCGTCGACGAAATTCAAGGCCAGTCATCGATACAGTAAATTTCGCAGTCTGGATTGTTTTTAGGAGTTGCCACATATTGGTTGACTGCATGATTTGTTTTTGGAACTTTGAGTGTGCAGGTCGACAAATTAGGCACAAAGGAGATTCTAGCGACTGAAGCGGGAGGGATCGAGTTCGGCCTAATTGATGCAGTGACAGTGTCGAGCAATGGCCTCATTTACTTCACTGATGCATCAACGAAGCACCCACTCGGCACCTGGCATTTCGACATGCTCGAGGGGCAGGTATCGGGGCGCATTGCGGTCTACAATCCTGAGGACAAGTCCACTAGAGTGCTACTAGACGAGTTGTACTTCCCGAACGGCATCGCTCTTTCGAAATCAGAGGATCATTTCATCAACTGCGAAACAACCGTCGCGAGGTGTATGAAATTTTTTCTTAGGGGAGAGAAGGAGGGGACCATCAAAACGTTTATCGAAAATCTGCCTGGCCATCCGGACAACATCCACCGCAACTTGAAAAACGGCAGGTTCTACATTGGTATTCCGGGCAACAGGAATGGGCTGACAGATTTTGTAGCCAGGACGCCTGTTGCAAAGCAAATCTTGGCTTTCTCCCCGGTTCTGTACAAACTTCTTGATATGAGGAAAATGGGGAGAGTCTTTGAAGTTGATCCTTCCGGCAAGCCATTGCAAGTGTACGAAGATCCTACTGGGGAGGTTATTGGCTTCGTAACAACTGTGGTAGAGGTTGATTGGTACCTATATGTTGGTGGCTTCCGGGACAGCTTTGCTGGTCGTATCAAGGTGCATTGAGACCTCGAATTCAAGTTGGACGCAGCACTATCAGTGACTCTTAACTCTGCGAAATTGTACAAAATTCCTTCCATTGAATCCATGCACTCAAGGACGTCAATTGCAAATGCCTCACATCAATAATCTCCGAAGCAGACAACCAAGGAGCCGTAGATAGATAGTCACAACAGGGCAGTTGACCGCTTTGACCCAAAAAATCGCTGATGTATGACACTTTCCTGGATATATGATCAATTAGTGAAAAATCTTTAGTTATGTAAATGACTGTTTGATCGTCAATTTCTGATACTCCTCATGACATTTCGCGCCAAGAAGTTGCTAGGCTTCAGAGCCATCGAATAGATAAAAGTGGCAAATCAAACTCAAAGACCTCATTTTCTGGCCGCGGAATTTGGAGTCGAGCACACGAAATTCAAATATAGCAATGTAAAACCTCTTCAATGAACTGGGATGTTTCCCAAATTCTGTACAAAAAATGTGTTGCGGAAGAATAATAGGCAAGATGTTCTGCTAACCTAGACGCTAGAATTACTTGAAGGTCATGTGCTCAAACCACTGGCGAAGAATCACTGGACATTGAGGGTTAAGACTAAGGCCTTCTTGGAGCTCCAGATTATCTATCAAAAGTTGTACAGGCCGGAACTCAATGGCATCATTGCGACCTCTGAAGTCAGCATAAATGATCAGTTCTCTCTCCATCAAATGCTCAAAAGCCCGCAGAGCAATTTCGCGAGAGTAATGATCACTTGTTTTGTGCGTTTCTTGAAGGTGTTGATATTCCTCGAAGACGATAGTAAAATTACAAACCTCCTGCTCTTTGCTCTCCAATCGCTTCATGCACACGAGCAAGTAGAGCTCCAGAACTGATAAATTTTGTAAAGCTTCGCGCTTGAACTGAGAGTGAAGCAACGTGTTGGCAGCTTTAAAATCGGCAACCGTGAGCAGTCCTCTCCCTTGATCGAGATTGCAAACTGCTCGGAGCGCAAGGTCGAAGATATGATGAGGACTAGGGTCTAAGGCAACAGTTTGACCGATGATGTCTTGCATGGTTGCCTCTAATACTTTCTTAGTATTCTCATTCCACATTGAAATAAAAGGAGAATCACCAAGAGATCCGTCGGTTGGTAACATTAGCACATCGTGAAGCAGCTGGCAGATATCCTCGGAAGAAGGAGGGAGGAAGAGCAGCTTGCGATTGGAGAATCGTGACCTCACCCTCTTCTCCAGGAGCTCGTCTGCATCCAGGCGGCAGCTCAGTCCTACAACAGCAGCCTGCGTTAGCGTCGACTGCATGGAATCCAGAAGGTTGTAAAGAAGTCTCTGCTTCGGCCGCTGAGCAAAGAGGTCGAACTCCTCCAATATAAAAACGACTGACTTGTGTGATAATGCAGACTCCTTGAGCATAATGGTCAAAAAGTGTAGGTTATCATCGAACGCGGCAGTTTTGGAAAACACAAGATGATGATCTAAGCACAATTGTTCCGCGATTGCCTTCAAGGCACACCGATCATCAGCGTGTAGGAGACCATTAAGTCGGACCACCGAGACTCTCTCCGGAAATGTCCGTTGAAGATGCGCCAACACTCGCTCAGTAACCAAAGTTTTCCCAGAGCCGCGAGGACCGAGGAGCAACACAGAGTTGTTCGAGCCATTCTCAATGGTTCCAATCAGACAAGCTTCCAGATTCCTACAATTTTTCTCCACATCTGGAAGAAGCGGTGGCCCTGCAGCACCCACTCCAGTCTCCCAAACCGCAGCACACAACCTTCTTCGCAGAAACGACACAGCTTCCACCACTTCTTCCTCGGACACCATGATGCCGCCAGCTACCTCAAACCCTAAAATTCCAATTTGGGTCCCCAACCCAACTGGAAAAAACTCCGCTGCTGAGGAGTACCCAGTTCCAAACTTCCTACAAGCATCGCATTTCAAGCACGATCCAAGCGGAGATTCTCAGAAATCACATTCTTCGCAACACACATCACCTCACAAGCGAAGGCTACACTTCCAGTAACATATGACGAACCTGAGCTTCCTCAAAGCCCACCCTTGCCCACCAAAACCTGCAAACTACTGCTTGAAAACTGTGAGGCATAACTCAGAATGCATGGTCCTCTTCCGACTTGATAAAATCTCTGCAATCTCACAACACTTCCATGAAATTGCACATGAACCGTTCTCCCAGTTTTGGTGCTCACATTCTGTCCACATCCATCGGAGATCGTAATTTCCATCCTTGTGCATCGCCAGGAGAGCATTGTAGCCCAATCCTGTTTCGAAGGTCTTCAGCATTGCTAAAAACAAATGCTAAAGATGTTAATTCTATAGAGCTGAGAATCTCTTGTTAGGAAGTGGAGGAAAATATATAGATAAATAAACATATATATATATATATATATGAATTGTTCAAGTTGGTTGAGATTGAGAATAACAAGATTCTAGAGAGTAGCAGGTATTTATGAGAATATGATGTTGTTGAAGAACATCTAAATTAAACAAATGAGAAATAGACTGGCATAAGCATGTTGCAAATATTTTTTTAATTTTTTTAAAAATCAAAAATAAATTCAATGATACGTCACAAAAAAAAACACTTATATCAACTTTGCTTTTTCTTCTACTTTTTATTATAAGTATTTTATCTAAATAAGTGAAGATATCCATGGTACAATAAATTTTGTACACAAGTTTCAATCAATTTTTTTTTAAAATATTTAATACAATGTATTTTAAACATATTCTAACTTTATTCTTAAAGTCACAACTCTTGAGAAGTATTTTAAATTGGAGATTGAGATAGAAAGTTTTAAGTGAAGCTACTTACAAATGTTTTTTTTACCTTTATTATAGTTTTCAATAAAGCTATCAACTGCAATTAAATTAATAATAAAGTAGTAAGGTTGCATAATCTTTAACTGATCTAAAGAGTTCATGTTTTATTTCTATTTTTTCAAATCAAAATGTAAATATAAAAATCGTAAATCAAACAAGGAATTTGCAAGTTCCTACTAACTTACTATTGTTGAAATTTAGAGGTATTGACAAAATAATTGTAACACTTAGTATGAGGGTAGACTTCAATCCTTTTTATAAGTTACAAGAAAATATGTTTGTGAAGCAAGTGGCATCAAGATAAAATAAAGACATAGCTATAAAATAACTTCATAAATAACTAAACATAGATATTCTGTTAAATTTGTTGAAGTTACTTGAATAATATCTAAGGTGTACGTGTACACGTATGTATTAAGAATATAAAATCATCTTAAATATTATTTCAACTATTAAAAAAATATACCAAATGATTTACTTATTTTTTAAAAAAAATTGATTACAAGAGCAGGAAAGATTTTCGAAACAAAATATAGGATTCAACACCACACAGACACTCGTTGCAAGGAAGATGACAACGGTGAAAAAGAAAGAATTTAATTCACTAACTCAATTCGGGAAGGTCACAAATGGGAGGTATGAATGGAGAGATTCAGTGACATTCATGTGATGATGAAGTGGTGAATGTGGACAAGAATTGATCGCTTGGGGAGCGGTGAGAAGTTCGTCTGAGTCGTTGCCCTTCGACGCTGAGGGCGTACGTTGTGGTAAAGTGAGATAATTGTCAGAGTTCTCTCTGGTAAAAGGGATTTCAATTGAAGATTTGCGGTTGAAAGGACAAGGTTCTTGTAATTGGATATGAATTTTTGTATTTTGATTTTATCAGAGAGTGTGTTGATTAATCGAGATCCAATTCTTGTTCTGCCTGTGGGAGTTTGTTGAAATCGAAGTAGCCCTATGTGCAGATAAAATTTGAGTGAACTTGTGTTGTGAATGCAGGTGCTTTCTTAATAAATCTAAGCTTTAATGTTATATGTCGGCATGGTGCAGGAGATTAATGTTTAATGTACTTGTAATAACGCGATGGTTAAATTTGCTGCCATAGTTGGTGATGGATCTGTATGTAAGGTCCTTTTTACTCGTGTTGATGTATCTATCTAGTCATGATACCTTGGTTTCTACACCATTGTAAGAACTCGATGACATTGCTTTCAGAATGTTGCGTGTCAGTTCATAGCGTCGTTAAAGGATTTGGAATTGTTGTTTGGTGCAGCTGAACTTGCTACGATTGCAGGGCGACCGTGCTGGACCTGCAATCTGGGAAGTGCGTTCGTAGGGCTAGGCGTGGTTGTTCATCAGTAGGGGTTAAAGTGCAAAGTGTTCACAATGGCTTTCGTGTGAATGCGTCAACTAGACCTGAGGACAGCAAAGACAATAATGAAGCCTCTAAGAATGAGCCTGAAGAGATGGAAACTATCCAGAGATTGAAAGCCGAGGATAGTGGCAAAGATGATGCTGATCAGGTAGGTATCGCTCCTAGATTTTGTTTAGAAAACTCATATAAGGTTGAATAATAGGAAAGTGTACATGAGTTGCGCTGGCAGGTTGGATGAATAGATTTTCCGTCCCATCGCTGTCATCGAAAAGCCAAGCATCAGAAATCACTTTTACACATGTGGATTTGAATGCAGGTGACAATAACTCTGGACGATGTGAATCCAGTTAGACTAGGGAGACGAACTCGACAGGTTTTTGACGATGCATGGCGCCGCCTAACTAAGCTTGGACTGCTGACGAGTGCTTCCAGGCCTAGCGATGAGTATGATTTTGAAACGGTGGTAGTTGGAGGGCCAATGTGTGACTTTCAAACTCCGAATGCTGAACTTACCACCGTTCTTATTGCTGGGGCTACTGGGCGTGTGGGACGCATTCTTATTCGTAAGTTACAACTTCGAGGTTACAAAGTTAAGGTACGTTTAAACGTCTCCGTTCAAGTCTCCGAGCACATTCCTGCAATAGTGAACGAAAATTGGTGAACAAAGATTCTCAGTTGCCAGGCAGCCGCATTTTAGTTCCTGATTGAGATCAACGTGGATGTTACACAAGAGTTCTGTCAAAATGGAGTGCAGGCCTTAGTGAGGCAGAATGACGAACAAACGCTGGAAAAGATCCCTCGATCAGTACAGATTGTTGTTGGCGACGTTGGAGATCCAACTACAATGAAGGAGGCCGTTGAAGGGTGCAACAAAATCGTCTTCTGCGCCGGTGCACGGTCTTCAATAACTGGAGATTTAAGTCGAGTGGACCATCAAGGTGTTTACAATCTGTCGAAAGCATTTCAGGTAATCTGATGGCTGCAATTTAATTTTTGCTTGAGTGTTTAGAGCAAAACTCCATGTTTCTTTTCCTTTCATTTTTTTTTTTTTTTTTTTTTTTTTTGCCTTACATCCTCTCATTTCACCTACATTGACAGACTCTACACTTTTCTTGCACGTTTGAAAATCGCAGTTAATGTAGTTCAATTAAACTTCTTGGGAAAGTGAGCTATGAATTACTATTTTCTGAATCCACAGGATTACAACCACAAGCTGGCTCAAACGAGAGCAGGGCGGAGCAGCAAGAGCAAGTTAACCATCGCCAAATTTAGCCAAGCTACTGCTTCGGAAGGATGGGAACTTAGAGAAGGTTTTTATTTCACAGATGACGTTGCTGGAAAGTATGATGGTGGGATGGACGCACAATTTGAGGTTGGTGAGGACGGAAATGCTGTTTTTACAGGTACGTCAGAGGGCAGTTCATCTGTGAGTTTAGTTCCTAGTAATTTGAAAAACAATGATCAATGTGAGGTAGGACGATCTATTATCTTGTAATCCGTCGGCCGTTTTTGATCATCTCAGTCACCGATTACGACAGCCTTTGGTAGAATTCATTTGAATAGTTTCACTCAAAAAGCACTTAGGCATCCTTTCATTGTTTATTGGCTCACCATGTCACGAGATAAAGACACAGACACCGTTCTTGAGTTTTAGAGGTGTGCTTTGATCACAGGGTATGTGTTCACACGAGGAGGCTATGTTGAACTGGCCAAGAGAATATCGTTACCCCCTGGCTTAACACTTGACAGGTGCCATTAGCAATAACGTGTTTAACCAATGCACGAGTTTCGCTTTGAACATTTCTGCGAACAAGACCACTTGGAACTTCGATGCAACCTAAGTGAAGGCTTAATGAATAAATTGTAGGGCAGTGTCTGCTCGTCGTAAGCTATTCACATCTATTACGCGAGCTCCGTGTTGAAAGCTTATCTTTAGCTGTGCAATTGAACAGGTATGAAGTGTTGGTTCTATCAGTCTGCGGCGATGGCAAGTCCTACACACTTTTGGTGGAGACAGACCCTTCAGAGGACGATCCCAAATGTAGACAGTACTTCTCTCGCTTTCCCACACGGCTGGGATACAGTCGGGTTGGTGGTTTAACTCCTAATATAGATTGTATTAGAACCAAAATTCTCAATTCCCACATAAGACTAGGGTTGAATTTCTAGTTTGAATTGTTCTCAGTGCGAAATGTGCCCACAAGTGTCTTACACACTGGTCTCCGTTATTGTTGATTCTACCCATACTAACCATTTGATAGGCCTACTACGTCTGACCTGTATTTATCTTGGAGCTCCGAAATTTTCACTAGAAGTTGTCTTGTTCGAGTGTGTTTTCACTGTGTGCTCGTAACTCAAGCAGGTTAGGATCCCATTCAGTTCATTCCGACCGATGGATCCTGAGTCTCCTCCACTAGACCCTTTCCTAGTGCATTCACTTATGTTCCGATTTGAGCCCAGACGGCAAGTAGGTCACGATCCAAGAGACATCTGCCTCTGCTATGTACTTCATTGACGTAATTTTAAACGCTAATATATCAGTAACTTATATTCCTAGTCTCATCACTATGATAATTAACCCTTTACCGTATCTCACGCAGAAATCCTCAGCGAATCGTCCTGCCAGTACTTTACCTCCTGCCCAGGAAAACCAGCATAATAGCTTTAGACTTGTACTCGATTATATCAAAGCATTGCCAGTAAGTTTGCGTGATTTGCCCTCTATTTTTGATTCGTGGGTTTGCTCAAAATAGGGACATGGATTTCAATGCAGATGCTAGTTAGACGGATAGATCTGACGTTTTGTTTGTTACACTTGGTGCAGGGAGGTCAAGAAACAGATTTCATATTAGTGTCATGTTCAGGTGCGGGAGTTCCAAATGAAATGAGGGAGAAGGTTTTGAGAGCAAAGCAGGTAAAATCTAGTGAACTGAGCGCATCTTATGGAATCAGTAACTTTCTCCACGCCATTGTAGAGGTTTGTGGAATATCGTGTAAGTTGGACATAGACTTAGGTTGCAGGAAACTTATTTTGATCGCTGAATGATTCACAGGCCGGGGAGGCAGCCTTGAGAAACTCGGGCCTAGGTTACACAATCATACGACCTGGACCTCTTCAGGTATTACAGCGATTGTGTAATTTCTGTTCTTCTGGCCATCGCTTGATGTCACTTGAAGCATTCCGAAAACTCAAAACAATACTCTAAGAAGCGCAACAATTTTGTGATAATTGCGTGTAAATCATGTTCAAAGGTTCATATGATTACTATAAATGTCTCTGCAGGAAGAGGCTGGAGGCCAAAAAGCTCTTGTTTTCGATCAAGGCGACCGCATTACTCAGGTAATTCTCACCACCAATTTTTTAACACTGCCAGCATTGAAGTCCTTCCAGATACTGTGGATGCTAATTGTCTCACAGAGTATATGTCCATACTTGTGTACCTGCGAACAACAGCGTTATGCATGTTCAATTTGCACATCTCGTCTTTCCAGTATTTCTTTGCAACAGTAAATTTTGGTGGTAACCGATGAAGTCCATGAACTCATTTATATCTGCACTTACAGAGTATAAGCTGCGCGGATGTAGCAGATGTCTGCGTGAAAGCTTTACACAATCCTACTGCTCGCAACAAGAGCTTCGATGTAAGTTTGATTCCTACAGGTTGTATGCACACTAACACTAGCAATCTTCAATGTCAAGTTTCTGAAGCTCCCCTGGTTTGTAGTGATATATTGTCACACTCAAGTTGGATAAGCTTTAAAGAGTCCACTTCTGGCTGCCAAATTGCTACTAGCTGTTCAATCATCGACACATGCATATTCATACCCAGTGACACATTGCCATCGATACGCTCGAATAACCGATCATCGTGTCATCAAGTTCTACTGTCGATTGGAATTTGTTTTCACTATCAGTTTATCTTGCCTTTCAGGTATGTTATGAGTATACAGCAGAGGAGGGTCTTGGCCTTTACGAGCTGGTAAGACGATAATTTCCTTCCTCGTCCTTGCGTGATGTGAATGTCAGAATGTGAAAAAACCCATTGAGCTCTTGCATGCACCTTGGGTGCATTTTCCCAATACTTTCAAGTAGTCAAACCGTGCATTCTAGGTTGTCCATGAACTGGATGTTTCTGTGTTTGTGCAGGTGGCACACTTGCCAGACAAATCCAACAATTACTTGACTCCAGCATTGGCTGTTCTTGAGACGAATACGTGATGAAGGATTGCACACTTGCTGGCCTAGATGTGCAGGACCCTCTGCCTCGCAGCTTCTGTGAGCTTCTATGGGCTTGTATCTACTGGAAGCTCCCTACTCACAGTAAGCAAATTACATAGGAAATTCAACACTGGAGGTGACGTCGGAGACGAAGAACTGCCTTCTGACCATAATGAAAATGGTAACAGCCACATGGTGGCGTTCTGCTCCATGAGCTTTTTCATAAACACTTGCTTGAATTTTTTAACCCAATTTGCGGTTTTGGAAAGCCCACGTAGAAGATATCAAAGTGGGAGACTTCGATGAATTCTTAACTTTAACCAAACCTAATAATAACAATAATAATTACTGAAAAAACACAATAGAAAGAAAATAAGTCACATTAAAAACATGGTGGATCATCAAGTCGAACACGACTCTTTTGAAATAATATTTATGTAATTTATGTTAGCACAGTTGTTTGTTTATGCATGCATGAATGTGTATATATATATATATATATATATATATAATAAAAAGAAGAGATTCTTGTGAAGAATATGATGTGAGTGACAGAAAAGTCCTTTCATTAGCTAGAAATATCGTGGTTTTTTTTTGTGATTCTTATGTCATTACTTTTTAAACTTTTGGTTGATTATTATAATGATATTAGGTTATTGGAAGCAATAGATTGTAATGACTATCTAACTAAAATATTTCCTTCATAAAATATCTTCCACTATATTTATCAAGATTCAATGTTGTTAATGAAATAAAGTAGTGCATTTGTTAGACATGACATAAATATGTAGGACACAACCTTCAAATTTGGTTTAGAATATTTCCTTCAATCAAGATTAAAAATGAGCATGTTTGGTTTTGACCACTGCTCATGCTTAAATATTATTTCTAATACAATATTGAGTTTTATTGGATTATAACAAGTTACAGGCTGATGAATTGCAACTTGTAAATTTTAATAAGTACCTTATTTTTCTTCAATCAAAATATAATGCATATAATTTATTTATTTTTGAAATGAACAGAATTAATTCAGATATTAGATATCCAAAACAGAGGTTTCCAGTATTAACTCACTTTTAAGAATAAACATTATAATGTTGTATCAGGTACACATTAAAAAGTATTTCATAACTATTATTACTTATGTATGATTTGTTGCCTTATGTATATTAATACCATTATTTATATACATGCACATAATTTTTAATTCTCACAACAAAGAATTTCAAGAAAATTGTACAAGTTTTTAGGAATTAAATTGCTTACTATTTAAAACATATACCATCATAAAATAAACAACAATATGTAACTAGCAAGTAAATTCCATCTACTAAGCTCTAAAATGTTTACAATTTTCTTAAGTTAATTTATGGTACAATATTATTGGTCAGTTTTACAGAAAATTTTATAATTTTTTATAACTAGAATCATATTGTTGGGTTTTATTTGTCACTATACTATATCTAGGAATAAATTCATAAGGCAAAAAGTGAAAAATCATTCATGGTGATACATGATACAATTTTCCGTGAAAACACAATATGAGTGCTGAATTAAATCATGTTATTCCCACTGAATGTTTTCAACAGAACATTCATATTTCGTAAAACTCTCTTATTCCAATTTTTATACAATATTAGCCAGAAAATCCATAAAAAAAAAAATGGTCACATTCCCACAAAGAAGATGCAAGCACAGTCATCCATCCACGCTTCAAGCAAACGCATTCACGAACGATGAATGAGAAACACACTACCATCCATAACAAACCAATCATCCAACACAGACGTGGATGGATGAACAGTTGGATAGATGAACTATGGGATGGCTGCACAGTGGCAGCCACGCTTATCCCTCCTGGGGGGGGGGGGGTGGGTCTTAGGATGAGGGCCATCGACGGCCCAGCGCCTCCCGTCCAGAGCCACAGAGAAGGGCGGGGGGGGGGGCATTCCGTGGCGCTGATTGCATCGTGGATGCCAGACGAGAGAGGCTGCATTGTTGCGGATTCCGAGAGGTTGATGTTGGTTGGAGCGAGCGCTCCCTGGTGGCCGTGACCGCGAGAAGAGAGAACAGCAGCAGGAGCAGGAGCAGGAGCAGGAGGAGCAGCGTGCGAGTGAGTGGAAGCGGAGGAGGGGGAATGGCGGTGCTGGTGGAGGCAGGGGTGGTAGTTGGGTGCGCGGCCCAGCTGGCCCAGACTGTCGCCTCGTCGCTCTCGGCGTCGAGCTCCAATGCGCCCCGCGTGGTGGGCATGGGCGTGCGCTGCCTGCCCGTCGCTCGTGGCCTCCGAATCGACGCATCCAGGACGAAATTGGCGTCGCTGGGCCCTTCGCAGAGCTCCGTCCGGGCGCAGAGGAGAGGGATTGTCTGTGAAGCCCAAGAAACTGTCACCGGAGGTCTCTCCTTCTCGCTCTCCCTCTCTTTCTACGGTCTTTTTTCCTTTGGTTTAATTTTTGTAGAATGGGTGTGGAAGTGTATACGTGTCGCGAATTGCCCTATTTCTACTTTGTTATGTACGTACGTCGAATTTGGCCATATTGTTTACCATTGAATAATCGCATTGAGTGAGTGGTTGTCGACGTGTAGTGCAATTGCCTTAGGTAACTTTGTTATACTGAGAACCTAATCCTTAAGAATCGTGTCAATAGGATAGAGGTAAATGCTACAAGTAGGATCCGCCTTACTAAGAGAATTTAGTTTAATGTAGGATGTGTTCTTATTACGGCATAGGCTACCTAGCTGAAATAATCTACAGATCCTGTTTGTACGAATTAGCTGCTCTGCTGGTGCTGCGTCTGGAATTGTGCACGAGTCCTGTAGAGGGACGGTTTACGAAAACTGCTTGGATGGATGACTAATTTTTATTTTTGTTTTTATTTCTTTTCTTGTCTCCATCTGGGTGGCTTACATCGCTGACGGTGGATAAAGATACTATTAGCCTATTCGAGATGCTTGTGTTTTGCTAACGCCCCTACGTCTCATTTGCTCCTCGTTTTGTTATGGTAACATTGTTGTCACAAGCATATTGTACTTCTATTCTAAATTATTTTTTGCTTTCTTCAGTGGCAGGAGTTGTCAATGAAACCACATGGAAGGAACTTGTATTGGAAAGTGACATCCCCGTACTGGTCGACTTCTGGGCACCCTGGTGTGGCCCCTGCCGCATGATTGCCCCTCTGATTGACGAAATAGCGAAGGCGTATGCTGGCAAGGTGAAGTGCTTGAAACTGAACACAGATGAGAGCCCTGGCATTGCTACAGAGTACGGCATTCGTAGTATTCCCACCGTCATGGTGTTCAAGGGCGGAGAGAAGAAGGATACTGTCATTGGAGCTGTGCCCAAGTCTACATTGACCTCAACTCTAGAAAAGCACTTGTAGTAAGTATGCAACGTGTTGATACATTGGTGGAGGGGACTTATGTTCGGAATTTTTATTACAAATAGTTGTGTATGTTAACTTTTATAGAATCAATTGAGTTAATACTTTCACCCTCATCCTCATTGTGAATAGTCTGGCATTGGATCAAATCTTCATTGAATGCCATGACTGCTTAAATTGTAATGGGAAACGGCTGGGATCCACTGGCGTCATTTTTTCATGCCATCCTGGTTCTGTGCGTGTAGAGAGATGATTTCCCCTCTTGTCAACCCCAGCGTGGAATTTTCCTTTTCCCATGTGCGTCTTTGTTTTGTCTGCATTCTGCTTCCACTTTTACTCTCTTTGTTGTCATCCTTGTTCTTACGTCTTTAAACGAATTTTAACGAAATCACCCCAGACAAAAGCTTGCATAAGCCCGGTGCGTGGGTGTGGGCGTTGAAATCCGATACCGTTAGTGGAAACAAGTTGGGAATTTCTGTAGCTGAACCCTGGTTACCTCAGATAATGACGGCTCCGGAGCTGAGGCATGTAGTAGGTGTGTGAATTAGGTGATGATCGACGTTTTCACGAGGTTAAGTGATAGTCTTAATGAGTAGTTTACAGCTACGTCCTGTTTTCCTCAAGGAGCATACCTTTATATTTCTTCTTAGTGGTCCTGCAATTGAGTTGTAAGAGGTTTGTGTGACTCAAGTATTTTTGCACTCTGCTTTTCGGTTTCCGTGAGTTTGTTCAAGTTGAATCGTCGGCGGTATCTGCCCAGTAGAGCCTCGCAGATCTCAACTTGTATTCATCATTTCTGGAATTTCTGGGTGAACCACAAGTATTCACTGCACCCTTAAGCTTTCGTTGTATACGTGCCACACTTGCCTCATTTATAATTGCGGAAGTGGTCTTTAACCAAGCCCTCGGGTTGACAAGATGCACCTAAGCGCCAGATGCTGGTGGCTTTAGCATTTTGAAATAGATGATAGTAGAATTCTCTGAACCCCAAAGCATTTTGTCTAGGTTGATTCGATGTTCTAATTGATTAAGCATGTGCCCCATCTCAAGCTTTGCTCCCACCACCTTTGAGCTGGTGACTTTCTGGCATGAAAATGCTCGGGTTACTAGCATAATAAGCGGGATGGTATTCTTTCCAGAATTCAAATAATATATACGGAGCAATTAGAAATGCTTTGCGGTATTCATCCTACGCAACAACCTTCGCTCAAACTATTGCAGTGCCGTGTGTGCTGTCAATTACAACCCCAGGTGTTGAAGGACTAGGGAGTTAACACGGCCCAACCAACGAAAACATGATGAGTGTCATTTTTCAAATGTGGCACCTGAGTTCATACGTGCATCAAACATTGACAAAAACTTAGGATAGAATGTGTACCTCTTCCAAGCCTGTTGGAAAACTATTGAACATCCTGTGGAGTGATACTCCAAACTTTTTTTGCCTGAATGGATTCTGTTGTGTGAAACCTCCATGTGAGACCCTAGGTTTCGTACTTCAAAAGCCAAAATCTCACTTGTGAAAGGGAGATCACACATTATGTGTCGCGAAGTCTTTTGAAGGAGTATTTTCTGTGGTACTCTTTGGAATTGTCTAACCCATTCCAAGACTGACTGATTCACGTTACTTGTAAATTACCAAGTCCAACCCTAATTGATTAACATTTGCGTGGCAATTAATAACTCACCAATGGAAAGAAACCCAGTGTCTTAAGGTAAACAAATTCTCACAGATGAACTTCCTCACTGTGAATACAGGACATTCAAGTCATATACAACTTTACTGTTCTATTGTATTGACACAAATTACTCAAATCATGGAAGACTGAAGAAGTCACATCATATGCTGAAATTGAAGGAACAAAATTATATCAGTTACCGGAACAGAGCAGGTGCTGCACTGGTAAAGCGGTATTTAATTACATAGCAAGTGATAAGGAATAGACGCCAAGGAAATCAACAGTAGAAGAAGAGTTGGCAAGGTGAAGCTTGGTAAATTACGCTTGCCTTTTCCCCGCCCATACCAGCCACATGGAATTACTCATTACCTTGCTGAGCAACCAACTGGCTAGGCTTGACAACTTCTAACCTCATGGAGGATAATAATCCCACCATCACCTACTTGTTACAACATTGACGCAACTCCCGTTATGGAGCTGCGTAACTGCCTGACCGTAACTACAAGCGCCACCTTAAAGCCCCCTCTGATATTCAAAATTTCCACACACGTCAGCACAATCAAACATATAATAAATGCACTAAGAAACAACGAACAAGAATTTCGGTAAAGGTGGAACCCTAAACACTTTGAAAGCTAGAAAATAAGGAAGGTTTTTATTAATCACGTTGCAAACTTTGCGAAAAATACGATGCATACTTCGTCATGATGTTATTACAGTTTTAAAGACTGAGTCAGCATTTCTGAGTTTTCCATCAGACAAGCAAGAAAGTACGTCTTGGGACGAGCCCACTTGTATAATCGATTTGAAGAAAAACTAAAGAATGTGTTGATGTTTCCTTTTTTAAAACGCGAGGAGCACCACAGGTCTACTAACTGAAATACCTAGAGACTGCTGAAAATCTGAAGTGCTTATTGAACAAATCATCCTAAACAAAGCAGTGAATACAAGTACAAAAAGCATCCCAATTTGACGCACGTCCAACTGAACTGAGAATTACAAGATTAATTAAAACATACATCAAAGTAAAAGAATTGCATAAAAAGTCCACTTGCGTATCCACAGATTTGAGATAATTCAACTCCCATTGCCCCTCATAAGATAGTGTTCTCTTACCATGAAATGTATTTATCAATGGTGCTAGTCAGTGTAGCCCTGGGCACAGCACCGATGACAGTATCCTTCTTCACTCCCTTCGTAAACACCATGACAGTAGGAACGCTACGAATACCATATTCAGTTGCAATATTCGGGCTCTCATCTGTGTTCAATTTCAAGCACCTGACTTTGCCAGCATACTGCTTCGCAATCTCATCAAAAATTGGAGCAATCATTCGACAAGGTCCACACCAAGGGGCCCAAAAGTCCACCAATACAGGAATCTCACAATCCACCACGAGTTCTTTCCAAGTAGATTCGTTTACAACTCCAGCCACTGCCAAACCATGTGTAAAAAATAAGTTCTTATTAAATAAGTGCTTGGATGCAAGCGACATAGAATAATCTGATGTCTTCATGCGTGGGGAAACAATCTGAACATAACAAGCTGCAACATGTACATGAAAACCAACCGTACAAATCATGCGCACTTACTTAGCGCCATCTGATTTCAGCAGCAACGCTTACCAGTTCTCACTGCTTTTGAAATACATTTGATTCGTATTTAAATGATTAAGGAAATAAACCTACGATCTGGTGTAGAACGAGTGTGTAGCGGAAGGACTTCATGAATATCTGAATAGGGCGTTCGATGCAAGAGCTTACTGACCTGATGCACACAGCAATTGACCTTGACCAAGCTCTGACAGCTAAAATGAGTTCAAAGTCCGACATATCATTTTGATGAATGTCACACATCACATATCCGTTAACAATTTGTACTGATCATTCGCGTCACTCCTCTTCCACACATATGCGAATACAAATACGAGAAGCTGACCAATTACCTCAAAATTTCATCGACTCTAAAGAAAATATACCTAGAGAATAATCGAATTTATTCTCAAAATGGACTTAAAACTCTCAAACGGGATCGAGGAAATGATCAACAGCACTAATCTTCTGAACTCACAATCGTCCAGATCGTCTGAACCCAGAAAGTAGAACATTCAAGTACCTCCGGTAACCGTTTCCTGGAATTCGCACACAATTCCTGTCGGTGCGGAACGGGCGGAGATCCGCTTCCTTGCAGAATGTGACGATACTGCGCTCGAAGACCTACTTCTGAGGCCACAGAAGACAGGAAGCTCCCGCACGCCCAAGCCCACAAAGAAAGGCGAGCTACGAGCTGAAGCCGCCAGAGACGACGACGAGGACGACGAGCGAGCGGAAACGAGCCGCGGCCATGTCACTCCTGCCTCCACTACCGCAGCCATTGGTGCAAATTTATGACGAAACCCACAAAGTTTTATTAACGAAAATGACAAATTAAATCAGCAGAAACAAAACCCAGGTTTCGGAATTCGCTACGTGGGCGCGACGGGCACAGCAGCACGGGCAGAAATCTCACGAGCGGTGCAAGAAGGCGCGTCGGGGGGGGGGGAGCCCTGCTGCCTGCTTGTGTTGCAGGGGACGCTGCGCCGTCGATGCGGCGCATCGGACGGGATTTAATGCGGGTTGGGTCCTCTTCGAGAATTGTTCGCGGCCATAGGGTCCACGGTGGAGGGTGCACTTCTGTCTACGTGGCACGTATGCGTGGCGCCATTTCAGGAAAGACCGTGACGACTTAAAGTAAGTGATACAAAAGTATGCAAAAATTTAACTTATTCGTCTTTTCATTTTTTAATTTTTTCCACCAAAACCCACCCTACTTTACACTTGCCTACCCCTTTGTCCTACCATGCCTCTGCTAGCTCATTTTGTTGGCATGGTAATATAAATAAATAAATAAATAAGGTATTGAGTCTAGACCATGGTAATTTTTTTTTTTTTTTTTTTTTTTTCATCCATGAATGGCTTTTATGCAATTTTAACAAATGTTTTATTTTGTTTGCTCTTGTTCATGCCTTCGTGTGACAATTAGAACTTAGGACTAGGATGAACTAAAGGCTAAAGGAGCTTTGCCTAAAATCACTAAAAGGCTAATCCAACGGATTAGTAAGAAACAATTAGAAAGTGTAGAAAAAGGCCAAAACATTATATTCATATAAAAAGTGTCTTGCACAAGTGGCCAAAATCAATCCTACTACCAACGTGATGCCACTATAATCTATTTTTACCTTAATCCACTATTATTGGCTCCAACTCTCTATCAAAGATATTAACTGAAAAATGATGTATAAACCAATGAAATCCATATCAAAGAAAAAGTGACAAAATAAAAATAAGGAAGTACGTATATTAAAAAGAAACTGTAATGGCTTATTGCCAAAAGATAAGAAAACTTGAGATTTTTGAAACTACACTAGGAGCAAGAAGAGAGTTGACAAGAGTGAAGAAGACTTCACTCTTGCCTCTATATATACTATCTAATTAAGAGCTACATGGCAATGTTCTATAGGACCTTTAATATGTGTTGACTTTGCAAGACACATGCCTTAGCTTATAAAACAAGTTTTTTACATGTGGGCCACATAATTAGCTTGTTCTTTAAGCTATCAACATGTGTGGCATATGGCCAACTTATTCACCACATTTTTAATCTAAAAAGTGAATTAAAGTTACATATAAAGTCAAAGTAGCATCAATGAAGCTTCTATAGAAGATATTATGGAATTGACTTACTTTTACCTATTATTATCTAAATCATATAAGTAATTATGAGTTTACATGTGTATGTTCATGACATTACCTCCCCTTCTAGGAACAAGTTCCATGAGTAGCGGTCTTCACATGTTGAGGAAATCCAAGATGTAGCAAATTGTATTTGCCACATACTTTGATCTTTCTTCTCTTCAAAGATAATTGATAGGCCCTCTCAACCATCGATAGTATCCCATACCAAGGCGGGAAAACCACCCTATTATTTGATCATTGTTGAAACCTTTATAACTTCCTTCAAATAAAACATTTGGAACACTATCAAGAGTTATTTTTACCTCTAATAAAATTATCAAACATCGGAAGTCTCCTCTAAGGTTGTGATACCAAACACGTTGTATCTTGCCATCTATTGGAGGGAAAACATGTTGTTCTTAAGGATCTTTATTTCAATTACGTCATCTTAAAGGTTGTAACAATCGCAATGTCTCGTCCAATAGGTTAGTAAACAAAGGCTCTTCACTCGAATCCACTAGTTGTTGGTTCTCTATCTCTTTAGCATCACAAATACAAAGAAGCTACAAACAAAGATTGAAAGTAGAATGTTATCTTACTTAGATCTTATTACTTTTATAGAAAAGATCTTCATCTTGATTTTGTATCACAGACATATGCATGTAAGCTAGTAATTATATGTATAAATAGATAGAAGTAAATAAAAGTAAGTAAAAATAAATTAATTCTATAATATTTAATATGAAAGCTTTTTAGAAGCTTCATAGACACTGCTTTGACTTTATAAGTATCTTTAATTGACTTTTTGGGATTAAAAACGTGGTCAATAAGTTGGCCATGTCCCACACATATTGTTAGCTTAAAGACCAAGCTCACTATGTGGCCCGCACATAAAAAAACTTGTCTTATAAGCCAAGGCACATGTCCTACAAAGTCAACACATATTGGAGGTCTTATAGAACGTTGCCACATAGCCCCTAGTAATATAGTATATATAGAGATAAAAATAAAGCCTTTTTCACTCTTATCAATCCTTTTCTTGCTTCCAGTCTAGTTTCAAGGGTCTCTAGTTTTCTTCACTTTTGGCAATAGCCATTTCAGTTTCTTTCCTAATATACATATCAAGTTATTTCTATTTTGTCATCTTTCTTTGAGAGAAGTCTCACTTGTTTATTTGTCTTTATCATGTTCTTGTCCTTGACAAATTGACAAGAGTACACTTATAATATCAGAGCTTTGTCTAATCTTAATTAAGAATGGATTACCCCTTTTTCTTGATAAGACATAAGCATATTAGAAGTTACGGATTACCTTCTTCTAAATTGATATTGTCCTTAGTATTTTCTTTTTTTTCAAGTTCTCTCTTTTATTTGTCTTAAGCAATATTAGACATCTTCTCTTTTCTAAGTGTTATCATAGCAAAACTTGTTGAAATGAAAAGTGCAATGGCACAAATGCAAGAGCAATTGAGGGAATTAATGCTCGCGATGCATCAACTCAATTTACCATCACAAGGAGCAACAAGATTGGCAAGAAGTGAAGATATAGAAATGATTGGAGCTGCTTCAAAATTTGCACCAAATCATGTTCCTTCCTCTATGGTAGAACGTCCTTCCAGAGTTAGAGAACCAAGAATTGCCCTACTAGAGAAGTTTGATGGCACCAGATTAAAATTTAGAGGATTTATCAATCAAGTATAACTTGTGATTGAACTTCAACCCCAAAGCTATCCAACTCCAAGATTGTAAGTTAGATTCATTGGTACTCTTCTTTCAGGTTCAACATTATCATGGTTTTTATCTTTTCTTGAACAACGGAATCCAATATTGGATAATCTAGAGGTTTTTTTGGTGGATTTTCGATCCATGTATGGAAAACATGATGCAATTTATATTGCAACCAATAAGATCCATATTTTACGATAAGGTAATCAATCAATAACATTGTATGCTTCATAATTTTGAAAACTTGTAACTGATATCAAGTAGGATGATGCTCCACTTATTAGCCAATTTTTCTACGGATTACAATATGAGGTAAAAAAATTAATGCTCAACTTACGTGATCTTCAAACATTGAGTCAAACAATCGACTTTGTTGTGAAGTGCGACAATTGCCTTTTTGAATTCCGATCTGAGAACCGTATAAGTGGACCTCAACGTTACTATAATTCAATAGCAACACCAACATCTCTTTAACACATACATTTTGAAGTAGACGATATGCAAATTGATGCAGTACATTTTAAATCTCTTACTGAGTAAAAAAAGACTCGTCGTTGTCAAGAAAGATTGTACTTATATTGTAGAGAACCTAAGCACACTACTCAATATTATCCAAAGAAGCAACGCAACCATAAAATGAGGAGTACGGCAATCAAAGGAGATAGCATGTCGAAAAATAAATTTGTCTAGATAAAATAGGGACCGTGCGATTGGAACCTTGTACAATGCCTAGTGAAGGTCCTATCTTCTCCTCAGAACCCTCTCCATGATTTACAATAAATATTATTCTAGGACCTAAACATCTCAAAGCCTCTACCTTTCTAGATTCAAGAACCTCAGCATGTTTTTTAGATGAAAAATTTGTTAAAAGACATAGCATATTTTTAATAAAGAAAACTAAACCTGTTCATATAGAAGTCATAGATGGTCGTCCATTTTCTTCAAGACATATTACTCATGAAACCCTTCCTATAGAAATAGTAACTTATAGTCATACTAGCTTTGTAATATTTAATATCATTAGATCTCCTTCTAATCCAATCATTTTAGGTTTATCATGGCTAAAAAAATATAATCCTAAAATAGATTAGACTTCTCATAGTCTTAACTTTTTTGAAAGTATAACTAAGAGTGTAGTTAATCAAATAGAAAGTCATAAATTTAGTATAATTAAACCTATATTTGTAGCTGCAATTGCTTTCTTGTATGCTGCAAAAGAAGGATCATCTTCTGTCATTTATGCCACACCTATTGCTACTGGTGGAAAGACTTCAAGTGGCATCTCAAGTCAATATCAAGATTTTCAAGATGTATTTGAGAAAAAAAAATGCGGATACTCTTCTAGAACACCGTTCCTATGACTACTCAATTGACCTTCAAGAAGGAGTACAACCGCCATTTAGACTAATCTATAATTTATCTCAAAATGAGTTGGCTGAATTTAAGGAGTATATTGAAGAGAATTTGGCCAAGAACTTGATATGCCATTCCAAATCTCCAACAAGAGCTCCAATTTTATTTGTGAAGAAAAAATATGGATCATTGCGGATATGTGTTGATAATCGAAGACTCAACAAAATCACTATAAAAAATAGGTATCCACTACCTTTGATATCTAGACTTCTTGATCACTTGAATCAAGCTAAGATCTATACAAAAATAGATCTACAGAGAGCGTACAATTTGGTACAGATCAAAGAAGGAGATGAATGGAAGACTATGTTTCGAACAAGGTATGGACATTTTGAATACAACGTCATACCTTTTAGACTTACAAATGCACTAGCACCATTCCAACATCTAATGAATAATGTCTTTCAAGAGTTTTTAGATGATTTTGTTGTATGTTACCTAAACGACATCTTAATCTATTCTAAGAACTCAAAAGAACATAAACTTCATATTCGCCAAGTATTACAAAAACCAAGAGATGCAGGACTCTATGCCAAGATAAAAAAGTGTATATTTCACACTACTCAAGTCGACTCCTTAGGATACATCATTTCAAATGATGGACTTATGATGAATCCTAAGAAAGTTCAAACTATTATGGATTAGAAGATCCCAAAAATGGTAAGAGATGTCCAATG